ACTGTTTACAGCACACTTCCTGACTTTAGCTTATAACTCTATATATCAAAGACAAACAAATGTTGGAAAAGAGAAGCAAAGCATTTAACTCTGTCACGGCTGCTTACAGCACAAAGTAGTTGCATTTTACTGCTATCTTTAGTTTCAGCATCTTCAGGAGAGAGTGGAATCTCTTCTCCACTGGATGTGAATACAGGGCCCGGATATAAATGTTAGCTTGCTAAAACAACAATCTAAATTAGTTAAAGGACCCACATCGTGCTGCTTTTCTGCAAATTAATGAAAGAATCACATAGCGGTCGTCCATGTACCCTTCAGGAAGACGACTCTCTCTGCATCTGTGATTGACAGACTGGAGAAAAACAGTTGACATGTTTCAGTTTGTGTGACCAGGACTTTCTATTGCTTCTAACTTTTTCTCTGAGCACAGACATTGCCTATAACACCTAATGGTTAGTTTGGAGTTCGCCATTATAAAATCAGTGCTATAGTGGTGCAGAGCAGCAGCTTGGAAAATGGCTATAAAGTGACTGCTGGTTAACGTGTTAATGTTTCAGTCAATATGCAACACTTGTTCTATTGTTTGACAGAAAAAAAGTATGTGCATGAGACCATTGTTTCATCATCAGGAAATTTTTTAAAATGCAGTATATATGAGCACAGGGAGCAGGAGAGAAGCAAACAGATGTGGCTGAGTTCAGGTTGTATTTAACTTGAAAACACAGTAACCCATGCACAGTCCTTGTTGAGTAGTTTCAAACCTGTCTGACAGTTTCCAGCATCTCTTATTGTCCCTCAGGGGGTCCTTAGTTCCTCAGATACTGGGAGTGCATAAAAACTCTTGTGTTCACTCCTGCAGCCAACAGCAGAACATTTAGGGTGCTTTGCTCACGGCTCAGACATTCTAGAGTTAGCATGAGCAGCTCTAGAAGGTAAATAAATCTAGTGAACAGAGACACAGCTGCACTTTCTGAATGGTTCAGCAGCTGCCCTCACTTAGACGCTTCTGTTTTGTCTGAGCTAGACAGTTAGCTTACATAGGACATCACAAGGCATAATGTTCTTGAGACCGTAGCAATTTATTCATTTTTTTTCTTCCATTAATTTGCTTTCCTTTTCAGTCTTGTAGAACTACACAGAAAAACGATACTTGACTTTAACTTTGTTTTGCTGTTGTTCCTAACTCCCCTCAGTAGGGGGCAGCACAAGGGGCCAGGATTAATCAACATTTAAGGTAGATGACGAACTAGCTATCTAGACATGGAGGGATTTTGAGAAAAGACAGAAAAAATCTTGTTATATTAACAGGTTTTTAAATAACAATCACCAACAACCAACTGACCTTCAGTCTAATTCAAATTATGTAGCTAAATGTTTGAATAGTCATTGTGAGCATACTATCATACTAGTGTTAGCATTTAGCCGCATACATTATAGTACCGCCTCAAGGAGCTGCTGGTATGCCCATGGACTCTTGTGACATAAATTCATGTGTAAATCCTTGTCGTAACAATAATTTTGCACTTCACATTCCTATCAAACTATCAGCGATTTTCCGCTTGTTTGTCTGAGTAAACTTGGTGCCTGAAGGAGTGTGATGGAGACTGGACATCATGACCTTCTGCAGGGCCGCTTCACAATGTAACAGGTCACTTTTTACGCCAAGGCCGCTGGGAATAGGGACAGCTTTTCTGTCGCCCATATCAAATAGAGAGATTGTTGAATTGCAACAAATGCTCGCAACAGTAAACCAGACTGAATCAGTCAACAACAAAACTGCGATCCCTTATGTCACACACATAGCCAAGCTGATGCTGTCGAGGACAAACTGTTAAACAGGATGATTTATCAGCCTTGCAGAGATTGTCACTCTGCTTAATTCCCTACATTTTATGCAGTTTTAACAATGAATCCATCAGAATTTCCAGTATTAGCCTGTACCACATGTAACAAGCAATAAACTAATAAATACATGGAATTTAAAAAGCACAAACAAAAAGGTTTTATAAAAATATACAAATTGCTACTTTTTCCATCCACTCAAGTTATTCTGCAGCACTTACTGTATTTTAATAATTACATTTTCTATTAAGCTGCTCCTAATAAAACTGGTATTCATTTTAATTTCCCCTCAGGGCATTTTTTCCGCCCCACTGTGGAGCTGAATTTTACTGTGGCACTAGCACCTATTTATATGAACTGAGGAGAAAGTGACAAAAACACATGTAAACACTGCTATGGCATAAAGTGCAAACTGCACTGTACATATAAAAGCTGGTTTTCAAATTTCCATGTGATTAGAGAAAACACATTTATTTTTTGTTCAATTATTGAATCTTTCTCCAGCTCGACAACGCAGGAAACATAATTATACACTGAAACTACATCACCTGGTCTTTGCAGACTCCGCCAGAGTGGAACATTAGCTCAATCAATGTCAATTATTTCCCAGTCTCCATTATTGCACTGCCAGGAGTGGGTAGAATTTTAATCCCCACTCTGCAATTGCTTTAGCTACATGAGTCTTGGGCTTTTTGTCATGATTAGAAACATGACTGAACATTAAGCCCAATGGCGTTCAACAAGTAGTGCAGGAAAAATGATAATAGCTTTGTCGCTCAAGCAAGTGCAGCCCCGTCGTTGGAAGTCGGTAACAGCGGCGATACATTTGCTGTGTGTAGTCTTACAGTCTGTGTTGGCTAATAGACCCTTGGCAACAAATAGGGCCATGTCTTTACTTGTCACACACAGAGAAGAGCAGCATCTTTATTGCTGTGCATAAACTGCTATAAAACCTTACCGTAGAGACGGCTGGAAACACAATTACTGCGTAGATGGTGTGTAAGTTTGTGTACATACAAGGTTAGAGAGACAAAGGGGAAGGTGTAAATCTTAAAGATCCTCTTCAGTCATTTAAAAAAACCCTCTAAAAACTCATTGCTGTGTATGAAAGTGTCTTCAATGAAAATAATCCTTCCCTGTCATAAAATGAATGTAACTCTTTCTCTCTCTTTTATCCCTCCCTGCTTGCTGAAGCTCGAGCACACCGGCGTCCCAGTAGCACTGCTCAAACACTGTAAAACTACCTGTGGTACACTATGTAATATTGGAGTAATTTAGAAGGTCGCCGGTTCACGTCCCGGTGAGGACACCTGGGATCTTTCTGCATGGAGTTTACATGTTCTCCCCGTGCAGAGTGGGTTCTCCAGCTTCCTTCCACGAGTCCAAAAACAACAATACAATATTACAGGAGGGCTGCAGGGTGGCACAGTTGGTAGCACTGTTGCCTCGCAGCAAGAAGGTTGCCAGTTCGCGTCCCGGTGGGGGCACCGGAATCTTTCTGCGTGGAGTTTACATGTTCTCCCCCTGCAGAGTGGGTTCTCTCCAGGTTCTCCAGCTTCCTTCCAGGAGTCCAAAAACATGCTGAGGTTAATTGGTGATTCTAAATTGTCCGTAGGTGTGAATGTGAGTGTGCTTGGTTGTCTGTCTCTAAGTGTAGCCCTGTGATAGACTGGTGACCTGTCCAGGGTGTCCCCTGCCTTCGCCCTAAGTCGGTTGGGATAGACTCCAGCCCCCCCGCGACCCTTATAAGGATTAAGCGGTGTATAGATAATGGATGGATGGAAAATTACAGGAAGCACCTCCCAAGGTCGACAGGACTGGTTCCTTAGGTTTGTTCTGTATGAAACCCTTGAAGACCAAATATGTATTTTTAAAACTCTTATTGGTTTGCTGCACTTTTAAAGTGTAAATGCTCAGCCATGGCATGGACTGCCTCTTCTCTAATGATAGGCACATCACGAGTGTATAGAAAACACCATATGGACATCTTATCAAAGTAAAACCCTTCATTGTATGTCACCCTGTTAACATTCTGTTAGTTTTGTAAGACGGATCAGTTTGTTGTGACTCTACAGACTCAAGGGACTTTGATCAAGAAGATGCTTTAACATTTCCTGCAGCAAAAAAGATGAAGCGTATCTAATCAGAAAACAACCCAAGATTGGGATTTGATCATATTTTATTGAATCCAAATCCAGATTTAAATCTGCGTATCAAATCGAAATCCGTCCAGAATATTTATGAAATGCAATTAGGCTTTGGTGTTCGACACGCGCAAGTCACTAAAGTTGAAAACTAAAACAAAGATCTGTAATCACCATTTGTTGGCTGATTAGACAGAAGGAGCTTTGAGTAGCAAATCACGTTAATTTTCACCGCCTGTTGCTACAATCTGAGCAAGACACGAGCAGCAGAAGATGTTGATGCTGATTAAATGTAACTGAAAGATGTAAAAGGTGTTCCTTACTTACTTCTATACTTCATTTTTCCCAAGTTACATACTCCTAATATGAGTAACCACTGCAGTACTATTGAAGTCAATATATTGATGTGATTTGCTTTGAATTCTGCTGACACTGGCGCAATAAGCCAGATGGTTTCTCAACAGATAGTAGCATCTCTGTAGATCTTGTTGGACACAAACACAGCTATTATTTATTGATTAGGGGCTAATTAACTGTGGCTAATTTTGTATTTTCCTCCATTGGCTAAAAATGAGACGATTGCTACTGCTGGAATCTTTCTTACATTGTTCTTTTGCTGCTAATTATTTCTGCAAATAAAAAAAAGAGATTTAAATCATGATCACTAAGGGATTTTTTTTTAGATGTTGTAGCATCACAGCTTTGCAAATATGGAATCCAACACCTAACCCACCACTAAAACAACCAAAGATCTAATGCAGCAGCGTAAATGATATCTTTAGATGGGCAGAAGCTAACGCGACCTTTACACCTTTCAGATCTGGTTAGTTGGGGTCAGATGGAAAACAGTCTATTAGTTTGCAGCACTGGTCAGAAGGCAAAAGGCAGTTTAGATTTGCCAGTGCGCAATACAAATGTATTATTTGGCATTTGATTAAAATGGCAGTTTAATAACGAGGAAAGAATTCTTGTACTCGCATCAGTGCACTGCTGTGTTTTTGAGTTCTTCATTACCTTCGTGAGCGGTAAAGGATGAGGATGTCCAGCGAGGGCCAGTTTAACAGTGGTCTCCCAGATGTGGGGGTCGTGGAGTCCCCGAGCCGTTACCATGAACTGGACGGGCTCTGACAGGTTGGCCACCTCCTGGTCTGCATACACCGACCCGTCGGGCCTCACGCTGAAGTTGGGGTCGCTGCTGAAGAAGCCCACCTCTCTGCTGCGCTGGCAGTCCTCAAACTTCACTGCAGAAACAGAAAGAGGGAAGGGGGTACAGAGTTAGAGAGCAGCACAGTGAGATTTACTCCATAAGGTGTTTGCAAATCCTTGACACATCTGGCAGGCTTAAGATTAACCCGCATCCATCAAGACGTATCTTGAAATATCTCATCCCTTCTGCTGTCACTTCTGATTCCCCGCTTTGACGTCTTTGGCAAAACAAACTGCTTATCTCTTCCTGAACTGGAATACACGGGAGGAGGAAGGGGGGGGACCTAATTCTTTTTCATATCATTCTTTTTCCAAACTAGACAGATAGCAATGTCAAAATAGCATTTCCTTCAGCTTCTACTGGGAAAGCATGAAGAGAAGGGCTAAAGCACATTAAGCTGACTGGGCTGATTGAGCGCAATGCTCATGTGAGCAACAGTCTTGAATGACATTTAGAGGCTTCTGCTTCACTGAGACATAAGAAAAGGGAGCGGTGAGGGATCTCGTGTTTGTATGCACACACACAGACTGCTATTCCCGCTTCCAGAGTAATGTACCATATGTGTCTGTAAGTGCAGTATGGGAGGCGGGTTTGGATGTAGGTGTGTTTACAGTCTTTCCACACCACAGATGAGTAAATGGTTGGAACAGATCACACAGACATGATGTTGGGCTGCTGAGTGCATGTGCAGACTCTCCAGCGACAGCTGACACGAATATGCCATCACAGCGCACAACACACAGGAGAAACCAACAGTCCCAGATACGGCTACGTCTGAAACGCTTTCATTTCATTGACAAATTTAATCAAAACTCAGTGCATCGTTTTCATGCGACTCACAGCATGATGCAATGACATGAATGCTGCAAAATGACTGATTGTTATTTTCAACATGTCTATTAGGTTAACACACACACACGCACACCATCCCTTGTCTCCCTCTACCCCCAAGTTGAAATGCATGTGCTGTGATGTTATCTCACAAACTCCGGCTGCTGATAACAAGACAAATTGATTTCATAAATCACCCAGGGAACAGATCATCTGTTATGAGCTATGGCAGTGTGATTTCTCAAAAATCCGGCGTGAAGAATTCTGCACAGCAAGCTTTTTATCAAGCCATCTATTTAATTTATCGCCCAGCTTCCTGTCAAAAGCAGCTCCCAAACAACAGGCTAATAAAGCATGAGATCTCCTCAGCCACTGCAGCTTAGCATCACACAAATGAGGCTGCTTGTTTTCAACCTCTGAGTAATTGCATGCGTAATGGGACGGATGGTAAACACAGCTTTGACAATGTGTGCATCTGTCTATGTTGGCAAATGCAATCCATATTTTCATTAAAAACACACACACATATGCACACACACCCCAGTGGAGAACATCCTTATGTGAGTGATAAGCTTTGTTTGAAATTATTGCCTTGCTTTGGGGATCATTTATCAACAGTGGGGGGGCGGGGGGTTCGTGAGATGGGAGGAGAGGAGGGGGGGGTTTAACATCAGGTTGCGGCAATATGACACAGACCTGCTTGAATTGTCCACAGATGAATTGTGATGGCAGACATGTATTATGTAAATGACTTCAATTAGCTTGAACTGAGCAGGCTAATTGTTGTCACTTAGACAGGTCTCTTGTGGTGCAGCTGGAGAAGTGAGGCTTAAGGACACGGGCGCCGAAAAACCGCCGCTCACGAATTGCCTGCGCGCGTGCCGCCGCAATGTGCATACGGGGGAATGTTCAGCCGGAGTGAGAACGTATGTCCTCAGCTGGTGCATACATTAATTTTGATGTTAATACTACAACAAAACCACGGAGGTCTCTGAGGGTCTGTCTGAACCTGCTCGCCTTGTGCGCTGCTGCGGTGGTGCCAGTTGGCATGGGAACACACATGTGGTCTGTGAGGCATTGCCATTGTGGAACACTACTAGAGCTGTATCTTTGATTCTTTATGAGGGCATCGGGCCAGCTCTCAGTTTACCATTCACCGCCTGCTGGTGTGCAGCCGCTTGGGGCCGAGACCGTGACCCTGATTCCTGACACATCTACTTAGTGTGGAGAAATTCATAAACGCTTTTCAGTTCATTTAAAAAATCCTGTTCACAAAGCACATTCAAATCAGGTAGCGGGATCTGATCCGCCACGCTGTTAAATAGAGATGAAAGCGGCAGAAAAGAGACAACGCAGAGACTAGATACTGATAGGGAAACTGTGTGTGTGTGTGTGTGTGTGTGTGTGTGTGACAGAGGGGAAGATAGTCAGATAAAAGCAAAGGGGAGGGGGCAGATACTATAGCAGAATAAAGGAGATATTTAACAAAACATACAGAATCAACCCCAGCTGAAACAGTTTTCCCAGCTTATCCTGAGCTTTAAAGCCAAGAAGAGTTAATGTCAGTGCCGTCACATCATCATGGACAGACAGCGAATGGACACTCTTGTCATAGCTAATCCGTGCTTATTTACTCTTATTGTCTTTTAGTGCATGTAATTTGTTTTTTTCATCTTACGCTCGGCAAACTACAGCATCCCTTTGCACAAAAAAAAAAAAAAAAAATTGAACTTGAAATGAATAAATGAAGACAAGGCTTCGGGGTGTTTTCTCAGCTGACGACCCTGAAGGTCAGTAACTCACAGTCCTTCATCTATTTTGAAAAAAATACATACATATTTACAACAGGTTCAATCAGCGCTGCCTATTGACAGTCCTCTGGCTGGAAAAGACGGAGGAATGGGCTGACAGCAGATTTTTTTTTTTCTGTCATTGTTTATAAATGCTCACATCACATGATAAAATCGCACAAGGACACCGGGCTTCGCTGTCAGACATCGTCAGTAGCGGTGGCTCCCTGCACCAGCTGTCTTTAATTTAAGAGGGATGAGCGTGTGTTTGTCACGCGGCTGGAAAAAACTTCTGAACATATTGTTAATTCCAACAAGGCTGCGCTTGTGGACATCGTGTCGTAGCCGGATACGCATTTGGGATATAGATTGGAGATCCGCAAGATGTCTGAAAGTAAATGTCATGGTTGGCCTTGTTTACCCATCATGCACGCCTCTGATAGGATAAAAACTCTCCGTGTTCTGTTTTCCAAGACCTTTCTGCAGCCTGAAGCATCCCTGTTTCTCGTTTCTGAACATACACCATGCAAACACCGCGGCCTGAAATGTCATGTGTTCAAGTGAGTGTGTAGTCGTCGTACATGAGACATGACAGCGACAGGGTGTGGCTACTCTGATGGACAGCTGCTAGTTCTGCTTCAAACGGCTTCAACTCAGCAGCTCGGAACCATGCAAGCAGTGGAAACTACATAAAAAGGGACAGTTTGGTGCCTTGCTGGTTATGTTAACAGCCTTTTGATTCTAGGATCTGTTGTGTCAATTGCCTTCCTTCTCTGTGGGTGTATGAATTTGTGTGTTTCGCCTCAGATGTCCGCGGTTGAGGACAAAAACATCTTGGCTATTAAACCACAGAGCTGTATACGTTAGTCGCCTATGGATTCTGCTCTCTCTCTGTTTCCTGCGCACACATGTCTGACCCTTTGTGTCCCCCCTCTGCAAGCTCACCCAGCGCATGCGAGCGTGCATGCGTCGCGTGAGCGTGCGCCCGGCGAATTTCAGTGCATGCTGCCATCCACGGAGATGTTTGGCAGGCTGCAGAGGCTGGTGTCATTCTGCTCGGCTGCTCCTCTCTGCACTCGTACAGCGGAGAACATGCTGTCCAACAGAGCGGCTGGTGCAGCACAGACGCGGCTAAAACAGAGCAGGCAAGCAGCCGTGACCGCCGACCACTAAGTCCTCCCCGCACACACACACTCAGACACTTATGCTCTTTGTCTCTCCCCGCCTGCAGATCCAGGAGGAGGCCAAAACAGCTCTTGTACGGAAACATTACATGTGCACGATTGCAGATGGCAGGTCGCTCGGCGCATCCGCACGGGAGCACGCCGCCCTAATCCCCCCTGCAGCCGCCTACACCATGTTCACCTGTCGACCGTGAACGCCTCCCCCTCTCCTCCTCCTGTCACTCTTCCCCCTCTCCCTGTTCTCCAGTGTCACGGCTCCCCGTTCCTGCTTTTCTCACTGTCCTTATTTCCTTCCCGTTTAACTTCCCCTCATCCTTATCTGTCCTCTTCTTCTCCACTCTCCTCTCGTGTTCCCTGGAGGTACTTTCTCCCCAAACCAGGACAGCCGGTCTGAGCCAGCAGCCCAGTCAGACATAAAAATGGGCACCCTGGTGGGCCCATTATTACCACTGTTAAAGTGAGCCGAGAGAACGGCATAAAAAAAAGAGCTAAAACAGGCGCGTACAGACATCACAAAAAAAAAAGGTCATGTCAGTCTGAATTTAGCATTTACACACTTGTAAGCTGGTTTTTTGAAGTGATTGTATGATTTATTTATGATCATTTTTAAGACTGATGAATCATTTTATAGACCCGCTTTTACATAACAACCTTTATTATTGTTCTTTTTTTTACGATTCCTGCTGTTAATCTGCACGCCTCACCTTGTATTCATTTCTCCTGCTCCTGATGTGATCTGTTTTTTGTAATGAGTTTCAAAGTGTTTTGTTTTTGTGATTTGAAAGGTGTATAAATAAATACTAGTTACGACCACTAAAAATAGACATCTGACAACAAATGCAGTGCACATAAGCGGGCTGTTGGACCACTCAGAATACCACAACGTACACGGCTGGGAGGGAAAACGTGGGACTGGGATGTAAGTTGAGCGTCAGGTGTGCTATGAGTTAAGCTGATAAATAGGTCCAGGCTGAACATATGGAGCTGTCTTTGTTAAGGTGCTGTTCATCGCAGTCGTGGCACGGTGCTAAGTAAACATTCCCTCTGGTACCCCACTGCTTTCCTCAAGCCAACGGGAAAATCAACGCCACCCACTCAATTTGCAAATAACAGTATTTTTGCCAGGCTGAGGCTGTGATAGGCAGGAGCACAGAGCCCACTGATGAGTAAACGAACACTTCTAAAACACAGAACATACTGTATGCACGGAGCCGGAAAGAGCGCCAGGA